AATTAAAAAAATCAGTTGCATGGCCATCAATCCGCGAAACACCCTGTATCAGATCCTTGTTATTATTATTTATTTATCAACCCACAAATACTAGGTTACGGATAGCAATTTTTTTAAATCGCAACGGACAATGTTGCTGTGACGGATTAGAAACTTATCGCCAGTTTCATCATTCGCGGACTCATCAATCTTTGTTAGATTCCAGTAATTTCCTCCGGAGGGTTATAATACAGCAACCGGAAGGGGCGTGGATAGCCTATTATTTTAACAGAGCAATAAAAAGGAGTTTTACAACTATGAAAATGTAAAACTACGTATAGCTAGCGTTTCAGTTAACACTTTGTCCTACGAACGTTTGTTTGTATCTCGGAAAATAACTGAGATTCGGACATTGCTATTTTCGAGTTTCTGGTAACCAGTTTACTATTACTTTAAGTTTGGGAAATAAAAATTTAGCTAAAAACGAATCTTTTGTCGATTTTTAGGCGGAATCTTACAAGAAATTTTCACTTGGCCTCAATTCAAATGGGATGTAAGAACTATAAAATTAAAAGAGAGACGTATCCACAAAAATTACACAGGCCTATTATACATGACATTGCATTACTGTCAAAAATTGTATCACCGCCGTTTGCAAAGGTGAAAACTGTAATTTCACAATGGAGAGAGATGCGATAACAAACATTGGAAGCAACATGTCTTATAAAAAATATAGATCAATAAATTTTTCACCGCTTTCTCAGGGGTTGCAATATGAATGGAAATATGATTACCTACTCAATTTTCGTGGATGACTACAAATACCTTATAACTTCGCAGTCGAGAGAGATGCGTTAACAAAAATTGGATATGACATACGCAGTACAAAATATGTATATCGCAAAAAATTTTGACAGGACCGTTTCAGGGGGGTGAGAAGTATTTATTTGTGTATTTTCAAATTAAAATTGAATTCAAATTTATGTAGATAACATTGAACATCCAATTAATATAAATTCGTAACTTAACTTGGGTGTACAACAACATACAGGGTGTTTCATAATGAAGTTCAAATATTTTAAGGGGGTGTTTAGAAAGTAATTTTAGGGGGGGGGGGTACTTCCAATACATTTTTTCGATTTGAGCCCCCCCTAAGAAAATATTCAAATCTCGAAATGGGCGAAAAAATTAGCTTTAATTTTTTTTCACAAAAACGGTTAAACTTAGAAATTTGAATTATGATACACGTCAACAACAACTAGTTGAATGGTATTTTTTGGTAGTATTTTTTTTTCTGATTTATGTCTTTGAATGAAAGAAATTAGCACCCCTTGGTTTTATTTCTCTCGCAACATTTTTCTACGTCAGCCAATTCCAACAAGAAAAATAGCTTTTATTACTAAATTTCATTTAGAAACTTTTTTACTCTTCCCATTTTTTCGTATACTTAGTGGTTTACGAGCATAAAAATAAATTATTTTTTCTTGCCGATTAGGTACACATAATAATTAGTATAACAGTCACCAAAAACGAACGTCATTTTTGACACATTTTTTGCAAAAATTCTTTTTTATCAATAGGAAAAGCTAAGCAAATATGCACTAAAAATTTAATACAAAAAATTAAAGCAAATTTTTTCGGCCATTTTGAAATTTGAATATTTTCTCAGGGGGGGAGGGGCTCAAATCGAAAAAATGTATTGGCAGTACCCCCCCCCCTAAAATTACTTTTTAAACCTCCTTAAAATATTTGCTCATGATTAAGAAGATATAAAAAAAGTAAAAAATTCAGATTTGGCGCCTTATATCACGAAAACGCAATTTTTCAGACATATATAATTTATTAAGCGCATTAATTTTCATAGTTTTAGGGGTTCTTAAAGTAAGTTAAAACTGAATCGGATTGAGATTATTCAATATACGGGGTGATTCCGTCAAAATTTCATTAATTTTAAGGGAAGATAGAGAAAAATGAGTAGAAAAAATATTTTCAAATCACCTACCATTTTATTCGGTCACTAACCTAGACTTTACTGTACTTTTAATCGATCACTATCGATAAGGAAAAAAACTGATTTTTTTCACCTAGACACGTGAATGAATAATATATTTTTTATAATTTTAAACAAACAAGTTTTATTTATTTGTTAATAATTTTTGTTTTCGAATGATAAGTTGATACAATTTAATAATTTTTGCTATATTTTATAATTGAATATGAGTTTTTAGTATTATGTTCGATTAATTATTCTGATTGTAGTAAGACCCAGTATACCCAGTGACTTATTGTTTTTCAAAGAGTAGTATGGCACCTACCTATTTAAAATACAGCTAAAAAACACTCATTCGTTAGTGGCATTTTGTTACTAAAGTTGGGATCCGATACACTTTGATTTTGAAGCTAATTGCAAAATTTAAACGACTGGGGAAATCAGTTGTTTCGCTTCAACTCACCAGCGCGTGCGCCGTCATAAAATGTGTTGCGAAGCAGGGCGCCGAATTAACAGAGTTAAGGGGTAATTTGCTATTTTTTAAAAGCTCCAGTAAATTTTTTTTTCGATTTTTCTGTGTGTATTAGGCCTTCCGAAAATGTGGTTAAAATTAATGACATTATGACTGAAAATATATATATTTGCGGTTATGTTTCCAATTTTGGAACATTTCCAAATTTAGCAACCGCACAACACATGACTGAGAATCTTTTCAGCGTATTCGCGTCCGAATGCATTATAATTTCAGGCAGATACCAGCGAATTTGCGGCCTCTCATTAATTTCTTTTATTACCCCTTATACATTACATCACTTTCTTGGTTTGCGGAATTCCGGATCATTCATCATATTTATCCCGACGTTTCGCAAATTATTCTCTAGGTCCGGCATTAAGACGGAAGGCGTTTGCTTCAGTCAGCATGTTTTCTTTCGGAAAGAGTTATAGTATAGTTTAATGAACGCATTGCCGTCCTTGGACTTTTAAATGGAAAAATGAAACCGTAAAAAATGGGAATGGTTATTTATTGTGTAAGCGCCTTATTAGGCTTTCTCGGTTAGTACAGTCATTGAAGCTGAAAATCAGCTGTAACCTCTGAATTCTTTGAAACTGCATGGATTTGCACGAAAATTTAGAATAAGGCTCACCTTAGGCTCAAGTCCAAAAGTGACATAAGCCCGATTGACGCTTTTTGTTTTTTTAAGGGTAAAAAGTGATAAAAATTGAAAAAATTAAGTTTTAAGCATTTTATTGATACAAATCTTGTTCAAGCACAAAGATTAAATAATGTTCCATGTTCTCGAACATGTTTTATGATACATTTGATCTATTCGACCCTTTATATAACCCTTAAAAACTACCCCTGTGCAAAAAATGATAAAAATTACTTTTTAAAGATTTGAAATGATTCAATCGTGCCATTGTTTAAAATAAAAGTTACCTTATAGCTATTAAAAGAATTTTTCCCTTTCAACCCCTAAAAACCACCCATGTAACTATTGACAAAAATGATATAAAATTACTTTTAAAAGCTTGGAATGCTTTAACTGTGCAATTATTTAAAATAAAAATTCCCTCATTGCTTATGAAAGAATTTGTATCTCATAACACTTTTCAACCCTTATAAAACACCCCTGTGCTAAAAAAATGATAAAAAATTACGTTTTAAATCTTGGAATGCTATAATTGTGCAATAATTTAAAATAAAAATTCCCTTATATTGTTTATGAAAGAATATTTTACTTTTGCCATTTTCAACTCTTATAAACTACCCTTTTACCAATATTAATGTAAAATATTTTTATTATAATCGATTTTTAAGTATAATCAATCATAAAGAAATTGCTACGCTGCATATAAATAAACTAAATTTTTTTACTTATTTTATTTCTATAATATAATATATAATAAGTATATAAAAAAGAGAAAGCCTATTTTGCTCCGAAAAAATGTCATTGGGTTTTTTATCATAACTCGGTTAATTTTGAAGCTATAGTATCCTACAAAAAAGCATTTTAAAGATAATTTCTATAGCTGCAAGATGGGTTGCATTTAAAACCTTTTAAGTCCTTAGTTTTTAAAGGGAAAGGATCGAAGGGCTCGAGACAGGTCGTTTTTTTACTAAAATGGATACTTCAAGCGGCGATACCTCCTTTATTTTTTATGCTGTAGGAATAAAAAAGCAAAATATTTGTTGAAAAAAAGCTACATTTTTGTTGCCTATCATTTTTACGTATCTTTCATAGTTTCATAATTATTATTAGAGAGCGGACAAGGTGTGTCTTTAACCCGAAAGATAGGTCAAATTTTGGTAAAGATGTGTACGCGTTCAAAAATGTATTGTGTATAAACTATGCAAAATATAATTATTATGTATAGCAAATATGTCGTATTAACCTCGTGAAGATTTGTACCCTTTACTTAAAATCCATAAATCATGTGAACAGGTTAAATAACGAGAAAATAATTAAGTTAATTTAGTTCTAAAGAAATGAAATGACACTCGCGCCCATCTCTAGTCCATCCGTCGACATCGGTTGCGTTTATCGAATTCCTATTGGTCAGAATTCAAACTGCNTCGAAAAAATTCTTCGAATATTTTTTGCTCAAAATTTGATTCTCTATCGATTTCCAGCGTTATTTTTGAAAAAAAATCCACCCCCCGAGAGCCCCCAACAGGGTGGAAGCGTCAATCGGCGCTATGTCACTAATGTTCATTGACCTTTTCTCTAACTATCTGCCAAATTTCAAGTCGATCGGTTCAGTTTCAAAGAATTCGGAGGTGAAAAGCTTCAATGACTGACTAGGTGTTCCATACCATTTCACAGATATCTCACTAAATCATACTTTGAAAATGCTCCCCTCAATATTGTGCGTCAACTATCTTACACTCACGCAGACAACAGCACATTTCAAAAATAAAATAACCTTTTTTTTACTTGGCCATCTATGCCTGTTTTAGGCTTTGCACGTCCATATCATCGAATTAATGAGGAAGCACAGCCAGAACAAAGCGATCGCTCCGTAGCCCAAGATGCAACCCTTCAATTCCAGTCAAATAGAGGTGTTCAATTTGACAGCAGTCAGGATTGGATCACCCTTTCAAGAAATCGGAAGGACGGGGGTGGACGCCACTACTATAGCGCCCTTTCAGATGAACCAAACAACAAAGAAGTCAATTAGAGAGCTGTTCTACAATGGAACCGGATACTACATCGATGATGAGGGCGACACAGGTAATGTACATCGATATTATGTCTAATTGTGTTGAAAAATGGCACGTGATTGTCAGATAAAACAATGGGCTATCGTGTAACGAGTGCGGAAAAGTGCTAATTTCTCACGAGTTTGAAAAAGTTGTTGTTGCAATCCAAACGAGTGAAAAATTGGCACAATTTTACTGTTTAGCAGTTTTTGTCAATTATAACAGATTCAAGAAATAACATATCATTGAAATTATTTGTTATTATTAGGCTTAGTGCGGCGCGGAGTGTAACAGGACCGTAGTCAGATTACAAATGAAAATATTAATAAGTTTACAGAGAATATGTCGCAACATAGTACTATTACTAAAGAGCAAGGCTATGTAGAGGATAAATTAACTTATTACGAAGATCAGTAGGAGTGGAAGTTTGAAACAATCGATGCACAAATACTGATAAATGACACTTAAAAATATTTTCAATGCTAAGCCAACGAAACTCTTTTATTTTGGATGACACCCAATCAAACCTTTTTAATCAACACGAAACTGCAACAGGAGTTCTGAACATTTTCCAGACACGGAAAGTAAGATATGTAATAATTGATAAAACCATTGATTCAGCAAGAGATTTCCTCAAATCAAAGTCAATAATATTTCTGTTCCTGTAAAGGTGTTTAAGAGACAAATACGATTTCTTTACTAGCACTCACACATATTTCTATTTTGCAGAATGTTTTAGCGGAATAGACTCATCATCACAAGTTGAGTTCTGAGCAAATGCTCCCTGAATTTGGAATAGAAGAGCAAAGCACTGCACTTGCTCAAATTTAGTTTCAAATTGTCATTTTAGATTAAAATACCGGAGTGCTATTAAATTAGAGGGTGAAAATACACCGCACTCAGTTTTTTAATAGTAGCTCGAAAACGAATCAAAATTTCGCTATCATTCATAGGAAAAATTATATAGAGAATTGAATTTTCCATGGAAATGGCTTATTTAAAAAATTTAAAAGAAAAATTTTATGCAAAAAATCATTAATAAACAATTTTAAAAAAGTAAAAAATAAGATTTCCTGATTTTGTTTACTTTTTGACTCAATTTTTTTAGTAGTAGAAGTAGGCAAAGAAAATTGCTGTACAAAAAAACTAGATGAGATTCCCTTCAAAATGATGCGTTTTCTAAAGTTTTTGGACTAATATTGACAGTTATAACCGGTCAAACTTAAATATTTTTTAGATTTTCGTCGTTTTTAACATGAATTCAAAAAAGTAAAAAAAATTAAAAAATCTCATTTTTTACTTTTTTAAAATTGTTTGTTAACGATTTTATGCATAAAATTTTTCTTATAAATTTTTTAAATACGCCATTTCGATGGAAAATTCAAAATTCTCTACAAATTTTTTTCTATGAACTATACCAAAATTTTGCTTCGATTTCCTGCTATATTTAAAAAAACTGCAAAAGTGCATTTTCACCCCTATCTTCAATTTCAACCCTCTAATTTAATAGCACCCCTCGTTTTTTTCATTTTTAATGACCATTCGAACAAGTCCTGTGATGAAAATCCTTGAAAGAATCCTTCCTTTTTTGTAAAAAATGAGAATTAAAACGTATAAGGGTAAACACGACGAAAATCGAAAAATTGGCTAAGTTTGAGCGGCCATATATATCAGTCAATTCTCATCCAAAAATACTGTACAAGCTCTTTTTCTGAAGGAAATTTTATCTATTTTTTTTATGAAACAATACCTATGCATATCTGTACTCAAAAAAATAGAGGCAAAAAAGTAAAAAGAATAAACAAATTTCGATTTTTTTGCTTTTTCTTCAAATTGCTTATGAACTATTTTTTGCATAAAATTTTTCTTTCAAATTTTTCGATGGAAAATTCAATTCTCTAAATAATTTTTCCAATGAACTATAGCAAAATTTTGCTTCGTTTTCGAGCTACAATTAAAAAACTGAAAAAAAAACTGAACTGAAAAAAACTGGTTGTAACAGTACCGTTAAGATCAAATGAAAAAAAAAGAGATCAGTATCTGCAGCAAATGCAAATTTATTTTATTGAACATATCCGATATCAGAAAAAGAACAGGACCCAAAACCGACCCCTGCGGCACCCCATACATAGTAATCAATCAGTTGCTCCTGCGAGCTATGACAAGAAATTTAGAAATATATTGTCGAAACCGTAATATTTGAATTTAGCGCATAATAATGACGTATCCACACTGTCAAATGCCTTAGAATGACACTTGACACAATAGTAAATAAAAAATATGCGTATAGGAATGATAAAATTAGTGATGTAGCCGAACGGCTGGAACCGGTCCTGACTTTCCTTAAAGGAATACCTGAAATGCGATCCTCCGAAGCAAATACAACGAGAAGATAGGAGCGAATAACTACATTTTACATTTAATCACAAATTAGTTAAAAATGTACACCCAATCCCTCCGCTATAGATTGGAATTTGCATTTTTAACGAACTCTTATTATCCCGGTAATGAGAAAAAGGCACGATCCACCCGTTCGATTTTTACAGGGCAGCGTAGGTGGCCAAATTATACTCAGATCCTAGGCGGTAAATATTTTTTAGGCACCGTCCTCCTGCGACCCGAATCGGCTAAATTTGCAATTAGATTGGATTTGGAGGCCCTTTGAAAAAAAGTTCACCAACGCAACATGGGACTTTGCAATATATCCCACTAGTAACGGAAAGTACATGATTAAGGCCTCCCTTAGTAGTAATAAATTTCAATTTACATAAAATTTTTTTTACTGAAGAAGGTAAATATTATTAAATTTTACTTTGAGGAAAAGATGGCGTAAGTTCAGAGGTTGGTTGTTTTTGAGATGCAGGTCATTTTTTGAAGTTTTTTTTTTGTTTTTATGGAAAAACTTCCGGACATTGAAGAAAACAAAATCCAATTTTTTCCAGCACGATTCGGCTTTTCCGTCCTATGATTCTGTTCATCAACTTTTAATTAAACAAAAATTAAAGTTTATGACCCAAACCAGATCTCGACCCCGATTCATACCGTTTTTTGAGACAAATTTCTAATTAATTTTTGTGCGGTCTGGAACCACTTAAAAACCAGTTTTTTTTTCAAAACTACCCTTTTTCTTCTGTGAAAAAAATTTTCGATTTTTTTTTTTTTCACCAATTTAAACGTTATTTACCGTAAAAATGTGAGAAAACCTCAAAAAAATTTTTTTTTCCATTTTCATCATGATTATGTGCTGTTTAAAGCTCAAAAACGTGACCCTTTAATTTTTTTCAAAAGTTTGACTGTTTGAAACAAAAAAAAAACGGTTCGCTAGATCGAGATGAAACTTCACAGGGTTTTTCTGGGTACATCGAACTGTAAAAGCCATGCTTAACATTAGTCATTTCGTGAATATTTATAATTTAGCATTCGATTTTCAAAAAAAAAAATAAATTACCCTTTTCTTCCTGTTTTTTAAAATTCGTGTAAAACATGAATAAAATTTTTTTTTGCGAAAAGTTGCAGGAGCATGTTATAAGAAATTTATTCCACTTTTCGAAATTTCCCTTCAGTTCTCTGTACCTACAACCATTGCCGAGATATCGATAATTGAAGACAAAAGGATGTTTTTCCATTAAAAGTCCAATATTTCGAGAAAAAGTGGTCGTATCGAAATTTTAAAAAAGGAAATTGAAGCTGAATAAACAAGCTATCTGGTCCATGCAATGGTTTAGCTGAAAAAAATTATTCCAAGTTCGTGGACTCAGAAAAAGAAAGAAAATTTGAAAAATGTTTGTCGCTCTATTTCTTAGAATTGCATGATAACCGTAGCTCTTAAAAAATTTCGAACGAAAAATCTAAAAACTAGAATCTTAGAGCTTCAAAATGCTTTTTTTTAATTCTCGATACGACCATTTTTCACCGAAATACCGAAATGTTTTTTCTTCATTCTGAAAGATCGTTTCATTTTCGATCCGACAGTATCTTACATAGGAAAGTTTTCGAGTTAATGACGATTGAATGTTAAAAAACCCAAATCAATTAAAATAAAGCAAAAACGTTATCAAATTTAGCTTTTCGAAAGGACTGAAGTTTTTTATGGATCACGTAGGTATAAATCTTTACAAAGTGTCACTGTCATACCGACTTTATAAGTATTGTAAGCGATATAAAAATTATTGTTGAATTTAAAGTATTATGGCACATTTAACTGTCACACAAAGAATTGAAATTTTAATTCTTATCGGATGCGAGGATAAGACTAGAACGCAGCAGAAAGTTTGCGATTTATTTAATGAAAAACATCCAGATCGCCGTATCAGCCAATCAACAGTCAGTAAGATGAATCTAAATTTAGAGAAACTGGCAATGTTGTAGATATTCCAAAACCTGGACGTCCAAGCGTTAATGATGTATGATGGATATTCCTCATAATACTTCACGACTGGTTGCATTAAACAATGAAATTAGTCAGACCACAGTGCTACGTATCCTCAGGAAGGAAAAATAACATCCCTACAAAATTTAACTTGTGCAGGAACTCAATGAAGACGATCCCGACCGCCGCTTACACTTTTGTGAAATTATGATGGATTTATGTCAAGTAAATAGAGATTTACACCGGCAAATACTTTTTTCAGACGAGGCCACGTTTTATCTCAATGGTACAGTGAACTGTCAAACTTGCAGGTAATGGAGTAGGGAATATCCTCATTGGATGGCAGAGACACATACCCAACACCCACAGAAATTAAATGTATGGGCTGAAATAGTTGACAACAGAATAGTAGGGCCTTTCTTTTTTGAAGGAACCCTTACAGGAGAGTTTTTACAAAATGACCTTGTTCCAGACCTTGCAGTAATTTTTCCTAACGACAATGACCCTGATATTCCTGATGACACCATATGGTTTCACAAGACGGTGCACCTCCACACTATGCGCGCCCTGATCGAGATTTTCTGGACAATTGTTTTCCTAGGAGGTGGATCGGCAGACGAGGACCGATAGAATGGCCCGCGAGGTCCTCAGATCTTACACCACTGGACTATTTCTTATGGGGCTACTTAAAGTCGAAAGTGTACGTTAATAGACCACATAATTTAGAAGAACTCCAAAATTGTATTATAGATGAAATACACAGAGTTACCCCAGAAATAATTCATAATGTGCAAGAAGAATTTCTACACAGACTTGCGTATTGTCAAGAAGTCGGTGGGTGGCAATTCGAACACGTTTTAATTTAGGTAGAAAACTTAATGAATTGTATTTGCTTGACATATGAATTGTTATTTTTTTTAATGAATAAAATTTACGTTTTCTAACATTCAATCGTCATTTACTCGAAAACTTTCCTATGTAAGATGGCAACATTTTAATACTGTCGGATCATTAATGAAACGATCTTTCAGAATCAAGAAAAAAAATAGGGGGTTGCTATTTGAATTTATTCCATACTTTAGGCGCGTACAGTATAACAATGTTTCCAATATTAAATAAATAATTTGTCAAACTGTTTTTTATGCACAGTGACATTACTACTATAGCAAAGTAACATTTCATGTGGTAAAGTACCACTTTAGTAAACAATTTTGAATTTAGTAAAATTTGGTCAATAATGACTGAGACTTGATGGTACTCACTAACGACCAATTTGTAAAACACCATCAAAACTGAGTCCCCTGAACAAAATTTATTGTATTAAACAATTACGCCCAGTTTCACGTGGTATAGAAACTAATATAGAAAGTCTACCATTAAGTTACGGCATGTTTTCGCAAAGTTCCATACATCCACCATAAATCTAACTCGTATTAGCAGGAATTCACTTTCCTGCAATATTTATCCCAGCGGTCGCGGGGTGGGAGTTCGGGACCGGGTTTAACGTTAGAAGTTTGTATTTATTGCTAATAGTTTGGAATATTTCCGATAGTCGATCGCATAATTAGGCTTTTAAGATCAAATGGAGTCGTAAGTTCTTGTATGTGGGGCATAACATTTACGTAAACTCCAATTTGGCTGCCAAGGAAAGTTTCTTGAAACATGGCAACGATTATTCTTTGGAGAATTGTCTCTGGATTATTGTACATGATCTCAGAACGACAATATTTATATAAAATACATACAGAGCTGGGTATGAGCACAGAAAAAATATTTAATCGATAAATACTGAATACTCTGTTGAAAAAAGTATCCATGTTTGCTTTAATCCGAAATACAGGGTGTCCCATTAATATTGCGAAGAAAATCAGGGGGAGTTTCCTTGACCAAAAATAAGAAAGAAAGTTCCTATAAACCTATGTCCGAAAATGCTTCGTATTTATTTTTTTTTTATATCAAAAATGTATCCGTACATTGCGTACTTTTCTTATTTACGACACTGTATAATTCTTCAGAATGCTGCGATGAATCTTATAAAATGCCCCACAATCAAAGTAGAAGTTCCAACACCTGCTATGATACCTCCGAAGAGATTCTGCAGCGATCTTCGCCTTCAATTTGGACTGTAGATCACTCCGCATTTTGTCGATCTGTGAAATCTCTTACTGATATCTAGTTTTATCGTTTGCTGTATCTTTTTAATAGAATACAAATTACTGTATTACTGTATTGTTAAAAAAAATAATATGTCACTGGATTTCTTTATTTTTTGTAGGACTGAACGATCTTCAAACTGTATTCCTGGCTTGTATAGCAACCCTCATACCACTGGTTGTTATACTTCTCACAGCGTTTGGGATAAGGTTAGTACAGTTTAGTTTAAGAAACCCTATGACGCTGTATCAGCTAAACTTTGAAATATTTTGGAAAAAAGAATATTGCCCGAACTAACATTTTTCCAGGTTATAGAATTTGATGTAATTAACAAACTCGAAAGACAGTAGTGTTCATTTTCAGCTATATCTTCAGTTAATTAGAATATTGTCAATAAGTAATGTAAAATATTTTCTATTCTTTACTTTAAACTGAATATTGTCGTTTTGACTTTGATGTATACTTGAAATTACCTGACTAACTTAAACACCCTATACCTTGGAAAAAACTTGACTTTGCAATATACCATTATGTATTTTAAATTTTCTCAAAGATTTTTCAATTACACTTCATTACAGGATATTATGGAACAGGTACAGAAGGCGTAAGGAGAATATCATACAATACGACGGCATTTTGCATAGAGAAGGAACATCAGAATCAATGGCAAGGCCGTTACATGCACATCTTCTCACTGATAAGGTATGCAAGCTGTTAGATGAACTACAAATGCATTCACAATCTTGACAAATGCAGTTATTGTTTTTATTTACATTAATACATGAAAGCTCAATTCTATAAGCAAGATCCTTGTTATACTAACCAGAAATTTAACTTTTACTGGCGTTGTATTGACAATTATTTACTGATTTAAAAACTGGTAAATGCACACATTAGATCGTATTTCTAAATACTGATCAAACTTCTGCTTTCTGGCAACCATGATTACGCACACTTGTATGCCTGGTTGCCGGACTACAAACCTTTGAATTTTGAATTAATTTCTTTCACATTAATATTAACGTTACAATTTAAATATTAAATTTATTGAGAAAGTTATTTAACACTTAGTGTTCTGTGTATTTCATACTTGGGAAATTTATGAAAAACTTTAAATTTATACTCTCTACAGAAAGGTAATATTTTATTTATCAAGAGAATAAAAATTAATTCTATCAAAATTAGCATTCCTGCCCATTTCTTTCCAAAAAAAAAGACTTTCCTGGGGCTTTTCATTAATTACAGTGACAATAATATAAAACAAAATGATAAACTATCGACTTTCTGTAGAAATCACGTCTCGCAGAGCTAAATCCAACTATTCCAAAGCCCTAAATAGTTCGGACGACAGATAATTCACGTTTTCCTGGCGGGCAAGGTATCGGAAAGCTGCGAAGTCGGTCGTGAAGAGCTAGTTGAAAGACGGGAGACCGAAATCAACCAAACCAAACAATCAGAATCGTGCAAGTGCACCATTGCACTCGCCGAAATTGCATTTTGTCGAGATGGATGTTGTCGACCGCGGATGCCAGAGGCGTAGGCATGTTTTTTAAATTACGACGCTAATAAAATTTATTCTTGAGGAGATGCAAGACTCTATAAAGATGCTTTCTTTAATAAATAGTCTATAGGTCTAGAGTTTGGTAGTAAATCGTAAAAAATCAAAAAGGTGGAACCATTCAGAAAACAAATAAGAATGTATGTAGTATTACTGGCAATGTCAGAGCCATCTATTGTTTTCTTGGAGTTAACTATGTGTTTTAGCTCGGGAACGCCATCTATGAATATTTTTATACATTAATGCTAACGTTTTAGTAGGCCGTTAGATGGCGCTGTAACTGTTTCCATGATTTTCCATTGGCATTAATTGAAATATTTCCTCTGGAACAAACGGTTTTCGTGTCGCGAGAAAAAATTTTTCAGATAAGATATTATGAGAGATCGCGTGGAAAACTAAATTGAAGGTTGTGGAAGGATGATGTTCGTTTGAAATCCCTGGCATTGCACAGGGTGGTTACTTTTAAGCTGTACACCACAGAACCTCTAAACTAGAAGAGATACCTATGGAATTGATTAAATTACAAAAAAGTCGTTTAAAATTATGAAAAAAATTGAAAATAGATCGCATCACCTTAAAAACTTGGCTTTCCTTAGTAATTGCTTACCTTTTTTACGAGAATGTACATAATTGGAATATGGTAAAAAATAACTTTTGTCATATTTAGAACTCTTAATTGTAATTATTGTAAATAACCAAAAATGGGTCAATTTTGTCACGAATTGATAACTTCCCAATTTAATTACCAACAGCTTTTCCAAGTCACACTTTTTCGAAAAAGCGATCAATATTGTATTTCAATTTCACAACCTTTTTTTGTAACTTAATCTACATTGTATGTATTTGTTCTATTCATGAGATTCTACGGTGTACACCTTAAAAGCGACCACCCTGTACACACCCTGATATCGATCCCGCTGAAAACGATTCTTAAAAACATCTCTTTGAGTGTAACTTTGCGTTTCCGGCCATTCTGCAAATCTGAAACTCAAAACCAGACGGCTAATCCATCACGAAGGACCGATCTTCGCTGAAAATTCCAACGACAGGAGCGGTAAGGCGTATTTTTTGCGGGAAATGGCGCCTTGGCGCAAGAAAGACATAAAAATTCTGGTGCTGTAACGTCGGATGACACAATCCTCGCTAATTCAGTCCTAAAATAAAGCAAAAACCCTTTGAGGGAAGGAGCAACTTCGCGACGTTGGAATTGCAAAGGCAAAGTGTGACGAGACTGGGAATTTCGCTAAATTGGGTATGTTCCTGAATAAGATGCAAGAAGTGACGTAGCGAGCTCCTTATGTAACCCGGTGGGAACATATGAAGGGCGTTCCTTGACACACAGGGCGGTAATGAATATTATTTACGTATATAAAAGAAAGGATTAAGAAAAAATACTTCAAAACCAAAAATTACTTGAACAATAGTAACTTTTAGAAAATAAATGAGTGTCCAAGAAAAGGATGGGATAGCATTAGGATCTAGGAAACGGTAAGAGATACGGGGTGGCTCTAATTAGAAAAAAGTAGTTTTTTTATACCTAACAATATGCCTTTTAGAACGTTTTAAAATTCCGGGTAGTTCCGGAGATATCCGGAAAAACCCGAAATCTTGCAAAATCGTTTTACTTTTTTCTGGCTTAGGTTAATCCTTAGGTTAATTAAATACGTCGCTGCTAATTTTATGACAAAATCTAAAGTAATTTTTAATTATGAATTAGATGATACTACTATTGTAATCGGTTAAAAAAGTTTTTAGCTTGTTTTAGCTATCATTTAAAATTTTTCCTGAGTGCGGCTCTGAACGTTTTCAAAATATCTATTTTTCGACCCCTGTCGGTCGTAGGACAGACTTTTTTTAAAAATTCGTGAAAAAATGTCAACATTCGAATGGCACTATCGACATTTTGATACGAATTGAAATCAAAAAGTTCATCAAAGTTTTATGGCCCCGAAAATAAAACCGATTTTTCGATCGTTTTTTGCGATATTTGAAATGGATTTGAGGCTCGCGCAATATTTGCACATAATAGTGTAATTATTAAAGAAAATTTTAAGCCCAACCCCGTTCCTAAAGATGTGACGGCCTATGAATTATGGGGATTTTACAAAAACGCTTTTTTTTCGAAAAACTCGATTTTTGCAAAAACTATAAAATATTTTTAAATTTTGAAAAATCACTTTATTTTGCTCACTAAGAGCTATCCTTTCACCAAGTTTCATTAAAAAAGCATTTCTTTTTTTAAAGAGATACAGCTATTTGGAAAAATTGGGATTTTTAACGGTTTTTTGCAATAACTAAATAATTTATTTATCGATCAAAACCGAAAATTGAAATTGTTAATGTTTTGTTTGTAAGGTTCCTTTTTTTTAACATGTTAAAAACAAAATAAAGAATATAATTTAATGAAATTGCCATTTCTTGATACTTTTTTGTAAACAAAAATGACACATGAAATCGTAGCCTACTAGTCGTAAAATTGCACTTTACTTTTTGTCCGATTCAACTAGTAATGACGCTGTTTCACAAAATCCAATTTTCGCAAAAACCGTTGTTTTCTAAAAAATTTTTAAATTTCCTGAATTTCCTAAAACTATTTAATAATTGGCATACTTATTCTTCCAACAAATTCATGTTTTTACCAATTAAAGATGACAATAAACGCAAATCATGTACCAAATTTGGTTGCTCTATGCTAAAGCATTGCTGAAATATTGTTTTTCAAAATTTTACACTCATATTTAGAGGCCAATATCTCTTCAAAGGTACATACCAGAAACAAATGTTACATTGTTACATTTCGGTATATTTCAAGATTCTCTAGACGTGCCGGCTCTGTGTCGGTAGAGTTATGAAACACCCTGTATATGAATGAGAAAAAAAAAGATTTTGTGACGATTTTCGAGAAACGATTGTATTTTTGTTATTGTTGCTTTAAATGTTATTAAGAAAAGATTCCCCTATTGAAAAATTAGGTGTGTGCGCAAAATTTTCATACCCGATACCTGCATTGGGAAAAATATAAAACCAAGCAAAATATCAAAGCGGATCTAGTCATTAAAGTTCTGCAAATATTATTCTGATAATTTTTTTGTAGTTTCGTAGCTTTCATGACTGTTCCTTACCTGTGATTAATCTCGAAAATGTAGCAACAAAATGAAGAAACGTCAGTTCCATGGAAATTTGTGTTTTGAAACAAAGGAAACGCGTCAATAACATGTCAACAATCACGGTATCATGTCTGCCGTGAATCATGATCCGGAAGTGAATTTTTTTTCAAAGGAAGCCACTGAAGGTGTCTCAAGAAAATAACGAAATTTCGACTGCTAGTGTTAAAAATTATTGTATCGACAAAACGAACAAATGTCTGACAGATGAAACATTACCCACAATGCAATATGTGCCACGGCTTTGAAAAGAAAATTACACTTACTCAAGTTAAAACATATCATTATAAAACGGAATATTTAAATAAAAAAATGTGGAAATATTGAGGTCGGGCTCGAAGGTTTTCGTATTCGGCGTATTGGAAAAATGCGGCATACTCGAAGACATCATTAGCATATAATGTTTTATCGGCACTGCTATGTATTAATACCTTTATAATAAAGTAAATTCAACAAGGCTACCGCGTAACTGACTCGAACTGCACAGCAATCAGGGGAGGGAGAAAAATGCACAAAGCCACACAATTAAGGTCAACAGACGATTTTTATTTATTTTCGTACCTAAATTAAAACACAATTTTCTAATTAATACCGATCCCCTTGTTATTTTAAATATGTATTTAAATTTATTCCTGCCATATTTATTATGCTCTATTTTCGAAACGGGTTCCGTTTAGTTTTCAGTGCAATTGTATTCATTTTTGCCTTTCGTTTTAATTAAATGGCAGTCTAATTGGAAAGAGGCATGCGATTGACACCAAATTGTAATAATAAATAATAATAACTACTGCTTGTGTTGATTTTTTTAACGAGCACAAATAGAGACAGAAAACGAACCAAGGGAGATAATAACGGAATTATATTTATTCTCAAGGTCATGTTAAAATAATAATCACAATAACACAAAATTGGTATGTACAAGGTGACCAAACTTTCCCTGTCCAGGTGTAAAAAACGATATCGACAAGATAAAATTCGAA